GGAGGAGGAGGAGGAGGAGGAGGAGGAGGAGATTGGATTTATACCCCGCCCTTCACTTGGAGTCTCAGAGCGGCTGACAAACTCCTCTCCCTTCCCCTTCCCACAACAGACACCCTGTGAGGTGGGTGGGGCTGAGAGAACTCTTGACAGAAACTGCTCTTTTTCAAGGACAGCCTGTGCCAGAGCTTGTGACTGACCCAAGGTCACATCAGCAGGTGCAAGTGGAGGAGTGGGGACTCAAACCCGGTTCTCCCAGATTAGAGTCCGCACACTTAACTACTACACCAAACTGGAGTCCTCTCAGGGCCAACCTAGTGAACCCTATTAATGTCATTCAACTATTTACTATTTATTTTATTTTTTCTTTAATTCATCTGTACCCTGTTTTTCTCCTCAGTGGGGACCCAGAGAGGCGTACGCTGTTCTCCTCCATTTTCTCCTCTGTGAGGCAGGTTAGGCTGAGAGAGTCTGACTAGCCCAAGGTCACCCAGCGAGCCTCCACGGCTGAGGGAGGATTTGAACCTGGGTATCCCAGATACTAGTCCAGCACTCTTAACCAACCCACCACACTAGTTTAAAATGCCGCGGTTGCCGTTTCAACAGTCCAGGGTTTCAAAGTGATGTGCAACTCTTCTCAAAACCATCGCATAAATCAGCGCGCTAAAACATTAACAAACAGCAGTGACACGGGAAAACTTTCAGAATCCCTTTCATGGAAGAAACTATGTAATGTGATGCGTTCATTAAATGGTTTTAAAGCCAGACGTGCCAGATTGTATGTTGGCCTGTTTTTTTGTGTGTGCTGTCACCAACATTTCTATCCAAGGTACGAAAATGGCCTGGTTCCAGGAGATATTATGCTAGGTTAATGCCTGCACGCTGGAAACCATCCCTCACGCTCTGCTGCAGCTGAGAAGAGTGCCCCTGCCTTTTAGTACCTCTGTCCTCCCCCCCCCCCCAACACATCTATGGCCCTATTTCCCGGCTCTCTCCTCGGTTTCTCACTGCTGAAGGAATGAGCCCTTACCACCCTTTCCCCCTTCCCAAGGCCCTGTTTTGTGTCGCTGAGAATAGAGCACCAGGCAGAAGATTGCTCTCCCACTGAGATGTTTAGAGGCCTATTTTCCTCTCATCCTTCTGTGCGGCTCTGTCCTCCTGGAACCGATTGTTGCCCTCAATTAGGCTCCTTCGCTGGCCCTGTGCCTCCCTTGAAAACCAATGTTAAAGCTCTCTCTTTTCACAGGGTTTTCTTTCCAAGGCATCCCTGGCAGCAGCTGGCTCCTGAGAGGACCGGGGCCGCCACAGTCTACTGCTACAGTCTAGCTGAGCATACTTCATTGGCCAGACGGTGTCAGCAACTGAGGAGGGAACGAGGCCCAGAACGGGGCCCGGCATCTACATCTGAGATCCAATCCACTGTTAACCCTACGATACAAATAATAAATTGTATGCCGATTATTATCGGTTGCACACGATTGACCTGCTGAAAATTACGCTTCCGTTAATTGTGACTGAGAGACGTCATTGTCTTTGGTCACCCGGTACTGTAGAACTCTACCCCCAAAAAATTTTAAATGAAGAAGAAAAGTATCGTCCCGTCGGCCACGGAATGTCATCTGCCTAAGGGTGGCAGCAGATAGATGCAAGAGCAACAGACAGAAGAGAGGGATGCGGGCTCCATGCAACCTCCTCAGACACCAGCCTTACGAGACACCAGATGGGAATTAAGGCAAGATCGATACAAAAAACAAGATGCTGACATGGAGCATCTGACTCAGAGGAAGTGCAACTGAGCCAGAACTACAGCGTAGTGCCTCAGCTATTTCCTCCCGGGGCTTAGCCTTGGAACAGTTCTGGAGTCCCAATGGTCAGGGGCTCACGTACCAGAGCTGGCTGCGTCACTCTTAGGAGAGAAGACGCTTCCCTCTGAGCCACAGAGCTGATCAGGGAATGCCTGTGGGAATACAATCCACCCAACACTATATCTGGCATAAGATCAACCACAATCAAGTCTGCAGTGTGGCCCTGACCCGGATAGCGCATGCAAGCCCAATCGCGTCAGATCTCGGAAGCTAAGCAGGGTTGACACTGGCAAGTACTTGGATGGGAGGCCTCCTTGGAATACCAGAGACAGGAGGACAGGGGCAGGCTTTATCCAGCCACCTCCCTGAATATCCTCCAGGCCCCCAGCAGGGGTCAGTCAGGTCACCGTGACTTCCAGGTGCACACACACACACTCACTCACTCACACACATATTAAAAAAATACAAAAGTACCACAAAACAAAAACTCCTGCACTGTGCTAGATGCTATAAAACCTCACAAGCCCCCTCTCAGCCCTTTTGCAGCTCTCTGTACACTTTTTAAAAATTAAATTTTATTAAAATAAAACATTTACAGTAGACAATAAATACAAAATTTTCTAATCAAGTTTACATAGTCAACAATCTCAATAACAAAATACAATACCAATTATAACAGATCACCACATATGTCATATGTATTCCATACATCTACTAATCTTAACAGTCACTGGCACACTATTAATTGTCTCACCCAAAATGCAACAGATCTATAGTATCAGGAATTTCTTTCTGTTGCATCAAATACTGTAATATAGGCAACCAAGTCGCTGAAAAGTTGGAATGCGTTCTTTGAGAATAATAATCATTAACACTCTCTGTAATTCTTGCCATTATGAACATATTCCATAGTTTAGAGTGCCAGTTCTGTTTAGTTGGTCTCTGTTTACTTTTCCAATGTAGAGCAACAGCATTTTTAGCCGCCGGTAAAAGAATGGCAATTTGTTGTATAATGCTGTCTACTGTCCATATTCCATTGATGCAAAAGTAGGTGTTCCACAGTATTTTGCAGTTTTATACCCATTATTTGTTCTATGGTTAAAATTATCTCTTCCCCAAAAGGTATCAAAATATGGCATTCTAGCCAGCAATGCGTATATGTTCCCAGTTTACTACACTGTTTCCAGCACATAGATCTCGCCGTTGGGA